AAAATATTATCAGAGTCTATCGAAATTGTCATATGAAATAATATAAATTTTTAATCGAATAACATAATATATACGTGAATAATAACTTTATATATTATAAGTTAATTTTATAGAGTTGAATTAAACTCATATATATATATATATATTTTATGATAACAAACAACATAAAAATTTAAAGAAAAGAAAAAGAAACCCTCATTATACAAGAGCAATACTAGAACTCCGGGAACTCCAAATCCCTTAACTAGAACCAGTATACTTCTTTTTTCTTATTTTGTCATCACAATATGCATGTTATAATAACTAATGAAAAAATGCATCGATGTAAAAAACAAATTGAAATAAAAAAAAATATATGCAATTAACTTTAGAATTGTGGAATAGTTGAGTAAATTACTTTAGAGATAAAAAGATTAAAAAAAATGTGTTCACCAAAATAAAATATTCTCTTTATTAATTACTATTGAGAAAAAGATATTTCATGTCTTCGTAACGAATAACATAAAATAAATTAATGTTTTTACATAAAAAAATGGAAAGTTATTATTTTTAAAGACGACAATTATTTTTATGCATATATTTTTCTATTTTATCCTTAAATATAAATTAGTAAGAAAAATAAAATATAACACAAAGATATAATCCTTAAAAAAGTAAACAGTAAAAATAATATTCTCTTTATATATATATATATATATATATATTTATTGTTATAAATTATAAATTATAAAATCTCATTGATGCGACGTTGTTCTTTATTCCATAAATAACTGGGGAGGGCATTAAGTTCAACAACTGAGGGCAATAACCTAACATTGCAATTGGAGCCAGATGCTCCAGTGCTGAAAACTGAGCGATCATCTATATTATATACTATACTATATATATCATACATCAAATCGTAACTCATTCCATTCATCAAACAGTAGTAGATTCTCCGTCGTGAATTACATGACAGTAATTAACCTAATTTCAGAGCCAAAATCACACCGTTGTGGAGAGCTAGGACTTGCAGAGTTTTCGGATCGTCAAACATGGACCTTTGATTCACTAGCATGGATCACTGTTGAACTTCAGATGACTGCAAGATAGCCAGTCTCAGGTTTTTCACTAGATCATTCATTGTTACGCTGAATTTGTCACCCATCTGCGGTACGGTAATTAAAGTTATAAGCTTATAGGAGTTTACAGAATCAATGCTCTCTAAATTTGTCTAACAAATGGTCTACCTTTTCCATATTGACCAATGTTTAAGGTTTAGCATTAAGAAAAATAATTACTCTAATATAATAGTAGTATTTATTAGGGGTTAATTTCTATAAATGCATTATATATTTATTTATAATTAGGAGGCAAAAGTTGCATAAGTTTTTTAATATTTCATTGGAAAAATTGAAAACATCAAATGCTAAAACAAGAATCAATATGAAATAGAGAGTAATATCTAATTGGGTGATCATAGTTGTCAGCGGATAATAGACATGAATTGGATCTTAAGTAAATATTCTTCCAAAGAATGATGCTAGTGTACCTGAGCAATAATGCTGATGTCAAGAGTTGAACTCCCAAATGGCATTACATTGTTGCTGGTTGTGCAGAGGTCGAGACTGTTAAGATGGTCCAAAATTTTTATCAAAATGCCACTTTGTATTTTGCAGTGAATCCGGAGGAGTACATCTTTTTTGAACACTCTTGCTTCCACCGTAGGTAGTGCTTCTTTTGTTTTATAGCATTCATCAGAGTCCATTTCACCAGAGGTGGTGCCTATGTCAGTTGCAATGAGGGATCTTGGATGAACAAATGACACTGACTCTACCTTTGTCCGTTTACACTTTTCTTCCAGCTCTCTTACACGTTCTTTAAGTCGTTTCACATGAGTGATTGCTTCGCTAAGTATTGTGGCCTTGTCTATCTAAACTTCATACAACATTTCATTCTTGATCAATTGAAAATTAAATTGCATTGTATAATAAATCAATTTAAACCTTAATTTTTTTTCTACTTTCAAATATAGGTTGATAGATAGATTCAAGGTTTTAAATTGCGGACCGCAACACGTATTACGGCCGCAATATTGCAGTTGCGGCCTTGTCCGCAACGGCATTGGATCGCAATTGCGATGAGACCAGAAATCACATATTTTTCCGCAACGTAACGGTGTTGTGTCCGCAACACATCTGTAATGCACCGCAATACATTCGCAATACGATAAATTGATACTATAATTTTAAAATAAATTAAATTATTCATTAAAATAATATAATATTTTAAAAAAAAGGAATTAAAATGTATAAATCCTTAAAAATAAATTTATATTAATAATTATAAATTTTTTATATTTAGTGAAAATAATTAATAATTTCACATCGCAACAGCCGCAATCCGCATCGTAATACTTGCAATACCCGCAATCGCAATAACTACAACCGCGACCGCAATTTAAAACCATGGATAGGTTATTTGTTTGCTTTCTGATGAGATAGATTGTCATGGTATTGGCATTGATCTCTCTCATGAAAATTGCGAACTTGTAGTCTTATATAAAATCAAATAATTGATTATTCACGTGTAATATCACTATAAATAAAACAATGAAAAGAAGAAAAAATTAAAAAGAAATTGCATCTTCTATAAATTAATGTATTCTTTTATGTATACTTTCCTATACAATGTGTAGTCTGTTTAAACTGAACTCAATTATATACAGTTTTGAAGGGCTTATGGCAAATCAAACTAGGATAAAACTTATATCCAAGGTCATAGGTGTAGACTGTGTAGTCGATGTTGTCCTCTTATATATGATCTATGATCAATTTCGTTCCAATAATATGTATCATTAAATATAAACGCATATAAAACTTACTGTGACAAGAGAAAAGTACTTGTTGTAGCCAAGTTTTGTTCATCAACTAATATATAGATCGATGAACTAGCTTGAATAATTAATAAAGAAACCAAATCAAAGTTGAAAAGGAAAAATCATTGACTGACACCAGACAAACATGTGATGATTCCATTGTAAAGTATGACATCAGTGACTAACCTTCTTCAAGCCAGGTATGGTGGCTGAAAGTTCAATGAATCTCTCTGTCAGTTCGCGTCTCCTTTTTCTCTCTGTCATGATATGATTCAGCGTCTCCTCAGAGCTTCTACCTCTCCTCGTTGTTGTGTTAGCCTTAGGTTCAATGCCATGTTTTTCTGAGACCCCTTTTGAGGGAAGACCACCACTCCCTACTGCTTCCTTCTGTTTTCCACCGCTAGCTGCTACTACGGAGGAGTCATCGAAGGACAGAATGTATGATGTTGGAGAAGTGGCTATGGCAGGTTTTTCTAGTGCATGTTGTGAGAAGATGAGGTTGGACTGGTTGTTGCTCTTGATCACAAGGTTGCTACTTTTGTTGTTGATGGCAAGGGTTGTACTTGTACAAGAACCACTGCCACTGTGGATTGGTGATAATTTTTTATTATTGGGAGAGTGAGTTTTGCTGTCAGAAGAGAAAGCTGGCTGAAGCATGATCTCTCGAAAGATCTGATCCTCATAATCAAGTGAGTCAATCTTGTAGTTTTGGTAGAAATCATAATCTTGAACTTCCTGTAGAACAAATATATATATATATATATATATATAAGTAAATTCAATCACCAATCTATACATAAATATTTACTTAAATTATATACAAGAATTGTGGAATATAAATATATAATTTGATGGTGAGTGCATGTGTGTTACTGTTACCATATCAGAGAACCAATATTTTTGGCATGGCTCCCCCATTCTAAAAGAATTGAAGAAAGAAACTATGGGGACTTTGGTTGCGGAGTGATTGATTTTAGGGATAGAGAAGGAGAATGGTGAATAATATAAATGGAAATGAGGATGGCAGAAAACAAAGACTCGTTGGACATGCAACTTTTATTTCCACCGTTGGATTTCACGCATTGTGCTTATCATTTGGAAATCATCACGAGCCCGGACCACAGGGGTGGGACACTGATGTGTCCTACCATCATTTGTTTTTTTGCAGCATACTTAAGCTAATAGCCCATATGTCTCACTTCAAACGATAGGGACTGTCTCCTAGAATTAAAGTATAAAAAAGTTAATTATTAGATACCTAATTTCTGCAAGTTAATTTGGGTAAAAAAAATTGTGGGGGAACACCAAATTGGCCAATCTTGTGAAAACCCGATGGATATAGCAGAAGTTGGTTTATTCTGTCCCTTATGTCTTCATAACATTTTTTTACTGACTACTTAGTATCGTATATTTTTATAAGAGAAATGTTGAATGGATGAAGAATATGTATATAAATCTGATCGGTTATTAGGGTTTATTTATATATAAGCTGTATATCTGTTGATCGTTTGTTTTTACACCCCTCCCCCCCCCCCCCCCCCCC